ACAAATATCCCCTATCCCTAAAACTATTTTAAAATATCCCAAAAAATCATTAATTCATTCCAAAACCCATTTTTGTATACAACATTCGTAAATACATGTTGTATGCGTTGTAGTAAGGATGTGGGCTTTTTCACAGAGAAAAGTTAATTATTTATTTGACATATAAACAAGAGGCACAACTCTGTCTTTATCGCTCACCTGATGAAAAAAAAAGATCGCCAGTTTGCTGATGAGGACTTTGATATGCACATAATTTAGTTACTCTTTCTGTTGCTGATCATTTTTGCAATTTACTTATTAGCCTAGCTCCTATAGGATTTTAGAAACCAAAAGCCAAAACTTCAAAAACAGTTAAAATCAACATTTCAGGGGGAATACTTCTAAAACTTGTTGCCAAAAATATCATGTAATGCTGATTATTATTTTTTTTATTTACACTTTTAATCTACCTCATAAAGTTTTCATGATAACAGCCAACAACTGCTAAAAATTATAAAAATAGACATTTCAAGGGCAATAACTCAAAAACAAGTGGTTAGATTTTTCGAAAATTTTCAGGGTGGATACATGTCATCATGTTGATCATTTTCCCAAATGAAACTTTTAATCTAGTTCCTATATTTGAAAAATAAAATGGTGTATGTCAAACAAGGGCAATAACTCCTTTGAGGGCTCGATTGGCAATTTCGGTCATAATAACTTATTTGTAGGTCTTATTTTACTAAAGATCTTTGCCATTTAATGTTTATCCATGTCCAACATAGATTCTCCAAAAGATTTAAACTTTTGGTAAATAATCTTTCAAGGGCAATAACTCCTATAAAGTTAACATGATCAGTTTGGTCATGTTAACTTATTCGTAGATCTAATTTTGTTGAACATTTTTGTCACTTAAAGTTTCCCTTCATCTATTATAGTTTCTTAAAAAAAACTTGAAAATTTAAATTAAAAAAAAAATGCTTTTCAAGCCAATAACTCCTATAAGGGATTAACTTACTGGCCATTTTTGATGTATATAATATCTCTTTATCAGCATTTAAGATAATAAAAAAAAACAAAAAAAAAAAACAAAAGAACAGGATATCTCGTAAAATTTATAATTCCAGATGTAATAACTGCAAATAGGGTTGTCCAATTGGTTTGAAAAATTACTTGGCAGATGAATCTTAACATGCTTATCATTTTTATCCTTATAATAAAATGCTTCGCTGAGCGCAGCCTGATACGACCGCAGAGGTCGAACCCTGAACAGTTGGGGCAAATTTGGACACAATATTCAAGCTTGATACTGTCTGAATTTGGATTGTAATCAAATTTTTGACATAATATAGGTTTCTGACACAAAATAAATGTGGTCAAAGATCTTATAAATTTATTGCGCAATACTGTGCAATTGAAGATTTCTTCTTGAAACTTTTCAAAAATTCGAAATTTTAAAAATTTTGAAAAAAAAATATGAATCCCTTAAAAAAAATTGGGAAAAAAATCCCCCCCCCCCCCACTTTTTGAAACCCCCCTTGGAGCAATAACCCCAAAACTCAATCCCAGCCTTTCCTTTGTAGTATGGAACCTTGTAGTACAATTTCAGAGAGATCCATACTCTTACACACAAGTTATTGTCTGCAAACTAGAAAAATGCTTGTTTTGGCCCTTTTTTGGCCCCTAATTCCTACATGTTTGGGGCAATTAACCCCAAACTCAATACCAGCCTTTCCTTTGTTATATGAAACCTTGCGGTACAATGTCAGAGAGATCCATACACTTACACACAAGTTATTGTCTGGAAACTAGAAAAATGCTTGTTTTTGGCCCCTTTTTGGCCCTTACATGTAATTCCTAAACTGTTGGCCCCATAACCCCTAAAATGAATCCCAACCTTCTACCTGTAGTATCAAACATTGTGGTACAATTTCAGAGCAATCGAAATACTTATACACAAGTTATTATCCTGAAACTAGAAAAATGCTTGTTTTGGGACCCTTTTTGGGCCCCTAATTCCTAAACGGTTGGGACCATCATCCCCAAAATCAATCCCAATCTTTCTTTTGTGGTATTAATAAGACATAAGACATAAAGCTTTATTTAGAGTCGGTATGTGCAAATACAAGTATAAAACATAAGCTCTGAAGAGCTTTTAAAACCGATAGAGCAACAAATTACACAAAACATACATATTAAGTCATGCACACATAAATTAGACATATAAAGCAAGAGTTCATATCAGTATATAAACATGCAGCACAAAAGTTCTTAAAAGCATCTTACAAGTTAAACACACACTGAAACATGCACTTGTGAGATAAAAGCACAAAAGCAAAAATAAAATGGTTTGCACATTAAAAGCACATATAGATTAGTTAGTTACTAAAACTAGCACAAAGCAGCAGAAGCACTATAGTAAAGATAATAAAATAAAATTGCCATGCTGAAAATAAAGCATTAAACCTAAAATAATGAACAGAAATTAACTGGTTTTGCAGGCAAAACATTGGCATGAGCTGCCAGACCAAGAATTTATCAAGTTCTTGAATTGATTTAAAGATGATTGCTTACGTAGCACATCTGGCAGCTCATTCCAAAGCTTAGCACCTGCATACCTTAAAGATTGTAGGCCGTATGCAGTTGTTCTTACATGTGGTAGGTCGGCTGTATTCTGGTATCTGAAAGAGTAAGTGTTTTCTTTTAAGTGTATTAAATCATGGAGATAAACAGGACAATCTTTATTAATAATTTTGAAAACTTCAATAGCCAATGATCGCATTCTTCTTATTTTTAAAGATGGTGATTTTGATTTGCAGAGTAGATCTTCATAACTTGCTGAATAGTCTTCATAGATAAACCTTAGTGCTCTCTCTTGAATTTTCTCTATCTTTTTTGTATTAACCTCCCCACAAAAGTGCCAAACTAGTGGGCAGTAATTAAAGTTGGACATTATGAAAGAATAATATATTGTTAATTTTCCGAGTTTAGTCAGGTGTTTTCCTATTCTTTTTAATATATTTAACTGTTTGGATGCTTTTTTACATATTATAGAGACATGTTCATTGAAATTTAGTTTAAAATCTATCGTTACGCCTAGAAGTTTAATGTTATCTTCACATTCTATTTCATTACCTTCTAATTTAAATTTTAGGTTTTTGTCTTTAGTTTTTTTACCTACAGCTATTGCTTGAAATTTTTCTGGATTTGCTTTCATTTTATTTATTGAGAACCAATTTATCAAAATTTTGCTTTCATCTTCTAGAGTATTAATAAATTTATCTAAATCTTTATCTGCGTATGAAAGGGTGTTGTCATCTGCATAATCATAGAGTTCACTTTTATGAATAAAAAAGAAAATGTCATTTAAAAAGATATTAAATAATGTTGGCCCTAATATCGACCCTTGTGGCACCCCTTTAAACATTGTTTGCCAGTAGCTTGAATTAGTACCTACTTTAACACACTGTTTTCTATTAGTTAAATAGCTTTCCAAAAGTTTAAGAGAAGAAGCGGAGACACCATAGGATTTTAATTTTAGTAGGAGGAGGTCATGGGGTAGGCAGTCAAAAGCCTTGGACAAGTCCATTAATATAGCTGCTACATATTTATTCTGATCTAAAGCCTTTTTCCAATCTTCAATTATTTTTAATAAAGCGGTTTGGCATCCGTATCCTTTTCGAAAAGCTGACAGAAAAATGTGGAAAAATGAATTAAAATATTCCACAAGTTGATTTTCTATAGACCTCTCAAACATTTTTGAAATCATGGGCAATATACTTACAGGTCTATAGTTTCCTTTATCTAGAGTGTTTGATTTTTTATGCAGAGGTATTACTTGTGCTTCTTTTAATTTATCTGGGAAAACAGCTAATTCAAATGATTTATTTATTAATTTAGAAATTGGATTGGATAGTTCAGATTCAGATAATTTTAATATTTTTGAAGAGATTCCATCTTTTCCTGTTGCCTTTTTAATGTTAATTTTATTGATTTGTTTTTTAACAAACTCAGAATTTACTGGGCTAAAACATAGTTCTTCTTTTTCTGGTTTGTTTTCTTTTATAACCTTAATACTGGGATGGTGTTCATCGATGATAGTATCTTTTGAGCCGATATCTTTGGCAACATTTATAAAAAAGTTATTAAATAATTCAGAAACTTCATTTTGATTATTAATTATTTTATTGTCTTCACATAGTATTAGATCTTTTGAAAAATGTGAACCTTTGTTAGTTAAGAAGGGCTTGATTGTTGGCCAAAAATCTTTGCTGTTAGGTCCTCCTACACGTCTTTCCATGAAATAGTTTCTGATGGATTTCTTTTTAATTTTATTAACCAAATTTTTTTGTTTTCTGTATGATTCCCAATTTGTTTTAAAACATTATTGAACCTTCTTAAAAAATTTCATAAAGATCCATTTACTTAAACTAAAGTTATTGTCCGGAAACCAATGTGTCTTCGGACGACGACGCAGACGACAACGACATCATACCATTATACGATCCCAACAAATTTTTTGCGGTCGTATAAAAATAAGGAGATGAGGTATGATTGCCATTGAGACAACTATCCACCAAAGTAAAAATAAAGTGGAGGTAAGCAATTATAGGCAACCGTACCGCCTTCAACAATGAAAAAAACCCATACCGTATAGTCGGCTATAAAAGGCCCCGACATGAAAAATATGAAACAATTCAATTGCTGAGAAACCTAACGGCCTATTTTTGGCAATTTTATCAAGTGAGATGTAACTATTTCTGTACTTAACTTTTAAATTTCACATTTTTTTTTCATGTTCAAAATTCAATATCCCTAAAAATGCATCAATATTCCATATCCCATTTATTTTTAGGACAAATATCCCATATCCCTAAAATTAAAATGGCAAATATCCCGTATCCCAATATACCCAATACAAGCCTCATAAATCGACGTTACATTTGCCGGCAATGCACGTCAAGTAACTTGCAACATTGTAACGTAAGACAATGGTTGTTACGTACGACGTCATTGTACTTCTCTGATAAACATATCTTCCGAAATTCCTCTGGCACGTACCAGATAAAAATCTCATGAATCTTGGCACTCGAAAGACCTTTCCTGAATAACAAAACAATTGTTCGGATACTATGTAGGTTTACAGTTTGACACAAATCATCGAACGATCAGGTTAGTTTGTACATGAATGATACAAAAAAAAGTAAAATAACAAAAATTCCGAACTCAAATGAAAATTCAAAACGGAAAGTCCGTTATAAAATGGCAAAATCAAAAGCGCAAACACATCAAACAAATGGAAAAAAACTGTCATATTCCTGACTTGATACAGACATTTCCTATTGTAGAAAATGGTGGATTAAACCGGGTTGTATAGCAAGCTAAACCTCTCACTTGTATGACAGTCGCATAGAATTCCATTATATTGACAACAATTAGTGAGCAAAACAAACCGACATAATAGGTAAAAATGTCAAAAATTAAATGTCAAGTTGAAAAATAACAGTTTACTCTATAGTGTAAGGAAGATATTGTGGTGTATGATGATGACAAGTTAATTTTTTTTCAGATTTGGTTTCCTTCACAAAAGATGGAAGATGAACCGGATTTGACTTTTATAGGAACTTCTTTGTTGGTTCTAGTTGTAGCTTCGATATTGTTTATAGTTGGATTTTCGACGCCTTACTTTAGTGAGACTACTCAAGATACATATCGAACCTACACCGGGTTATGGAAACATTGCCTTGATCGCATGGGTACAAATGAAATGGTATGTGGGGAAACAGTCAATAATGTTACAGAAGCAAAAGGTTTGTTAATACTCCAATAAAGTAAAGTTTTTGAGTATAAGGTTCTAACATCTTTTCCCGTTCCTCGCATGTTCCCAAATATTTAAATTATTTCTAAGATTGTGATAACTTTTTAAAAAAGTCTTTCATTAATTTCTATAATATCAATATATCTGATCAAATATACTAATAATGAGACATAATTTGAAGAGGTATGGACGTTTTCACACCAGGGCCATTTCCAAAAAAGTCTTTCCACAATATCTATAATTCACAGTGTCACAGCTCCGTGTGTATACGCTAAGGTTCTAACAATATTATGATATAATGGATTATTAAAAAAAAAAAAAAAATCCTAGGACAATGTAACCCTGAATTACACTTTGATTATATGGAAATATTCGGGGTTAAATACAGTAACTGTTCTTTCAAAAAAAGGCATGTGACCTAATTTTACTTTAGGGGACTTTACACATTGTGAAAAAATGAGAGTACTCGTAAAAAAATAAGATTTTTTGGTAGTATGAATTAAATTGATATATATATAGGTTGTGGTTCCCCTAAAGTAAAGGAAGGCATTATAGCACTACTTTTTTTTAGGGGACTCGTATATATATCAAACAGGTTTATAGTAATTGTTTCTTTGAATGTGTATATAGGTTGTGGGTCCCCTGAAGTAAAAGAAGGCATTATAGCACTACTTTACTTTAGGGGACTCATACATATCATACAGTTTTATAGTAATTGTTTATTTAAGTGTGTATATAGATTGTGGGACCCCTAAGTAAAATATGGCATTATAGCACTACTTTATTTTAGGGGACTCGAATATAAATCAAACAGTTTTATAGTAATTGTTTCTTTAAATGTGTGTATAGGTTGTGGGTCCCTAAAGTAAAAGAAGGCATAATAGCACTGTTTTACTTAAGGGGACTCAATTGGAAGCTTTTACCTTTTTTATAATAAAATCTGCAAAAATCATTAAGAATATGCTTTAAGGGCATACAAGACAGTCTTGATCCCACGGTGATTTTTTTACGAAAATTTGCATACAAGTTATTTTGCACCTAGTCAATTCAAATATATAATAAAAAATATACCTTCATGTGCTACTTTAAGATATAAATGTGGTCGAAATTTCAGACATTTTACTCAAAAATTTCGCTTTTTTGAACATTTTTATCCTTTGGATAGACATACCTAACTTTTTTGTTTCAAAAAAAAAAAAAAAAAAAAACACAAGCAGATTTTTGTAAAAACATTTGGAAAATCTTCTTTACATAAGTATGCTCTAGATTTGTATAACAATTCTTTGGAATAATTAATTTTTATCAAAGTTTCATGATTTTAGAAAAAAAACGGCATTTTTTGCTGTTTATTTATCTAATTTAAAAAAATTTCATCGGTGACTTTTTCATAAAAATTGGTACAAATAATCTTCATACGTAATCAAACCTAAAAAATAGGGGTCCATGAACTTGTTTTTAAGTGAAATCGGTTTGAATGATAAAAATCAGTCGAAAAATGCTTTTTTCCGGATATGTCCCAGTTTGACGTCGCGAAAATAACATTTTACGTTAGCAACGTCATTACCTCCCCTTTAACTGTATCGTATGCCCTTAATATGTTACCAAACAATTTTAGAAAACGTATCCATAGTTAGTTTACATAAAAAAGACCAGAAAAATCTTTTATAGACACAGTCCCCCAAAGTAAAATCTAGGAATTTTGAGTCCCCTGAAGTAAAAGAAGGCCAGGCAGGTACCATTCATGGACGAAATGACTTATAGTGTGCTATCGATCTTGAAACATATTGACATTAAACCTTATGTACTCATTGACACCTTGACATTAATTGACGAAACAAGATGTATAATCATTGAACATTGACAGACCATCAGACGATGTATTTAATGACAGATTTACATTGACAGAGCAAGAGGTGTAATTATTTAAACATTGACAGACAATGGCATGATGTATTCATTGACAGATTAAAGTTGACAGAGTTGGAGGTATAATTTTAAAAAAATTCACAAACAATTAGTGCATGTAATCATTGACAGACCAAGAGGCGAAAAGCCTCATGTATAATCATTGAATTTTCAAACATTGACAGACAATCAGATGAAGTATTTATTGACAGACCATTAGACGATGTATTCATTGACAGATTGACATTGACAGACTAAGAGGTATAATCATTGAAACATTGACAGACAATGAGATGAAGTATTTATTGGCAGATTGACATTGACAGACCATGAGACGATGTATAATTCATTGACGGATTGACATTGACAGACTTAGAGGTATAATCATTAAAGACAATGTTACGATATATCCATTGACATATTGACATTGACTGGCCAAGAGACGATGCATTCATTGACACAATGACATTGACAGACAATCAAAGTTGCTCATTGACACACTGTAATTGACATAATCCATTTGGCGATTCTGTGCGCGTATCGTAGCCCCAAACACTACTACTTAATGGTATTTAACGACCTTTACTGGCTGTTAAGCCCTCTCACGGTCGGCTCGGTGTCCTGTGTTTATTCTAACTGTACGGCGTTGGTTACTGTAAACATAGCAGTACGTCGTTGAGCCATCTATTCAGCACCACATGTTGTAGCTAGCAGATAATCAGGAGCTGATCCAGCACGTCCATTCAGCTGTAAGGACTGAGACGTGACTGGAGTGTGATGGCCCCAAAAACAGTCTGCAAAATTTTAAGGATTTACCACACCGTAAACCGGTGCTTTTTTAAATGAACAGAAACATTCCGTACAACTAAAGCTGATCAGTACTGAATAGAAGACATATTTGCCCTTTAAATTCCGTGCAAATTTTTAAAATACCATCCATGGTCGGTATTTAAAAACACGGAAATTCTGCGGTCAATTTTGAACAAACTGATTTTCCAGTTCCATTGTCAGACACTATCCGGAAATTATGATTTTTCCATTAGTTACGATTTTCATCTCGCCTCCGACGAAAAGTCTTGGAAGGCGAGACATAGATATTTTTCAGCGGCATAGGCTTCAACAATTGTTAAGTTTTCTGCTTAAGTCAGTTTGATAGGAACTAATTATGATAGATCAATGATATTTTTTATAACGTTGCAATACTATCAGTACATATCAGTTTGATGACTATATCGAGGCCCTGTTCCCTAGGTCATGGTCCAGTTACTTTGAATTAATTAACACTTTTCAATGTTAAGTTATCTGCTTAAGTCAGTTTGATAGGAACTAATTGAAATAGATCAATGATATTTTCTATAAAGTTGCATTGCACTACTATCAGTACATATCAGTATGATGACTATGTCGAGGCCCTTTAAATACCCACCCCCCCCCCCCCCCCACCAAAAAAAAAAAAACAAAAACAAAAAAAAAACAAAAAAAACAAAACATTTATTTAATTTTATCAAATGAATTGGTTCTCAAAATGACGCTTTTTTAAATCGAGCACATCCTTATGGTTTAAATAATATTGGAAAATCATCCTACATAGGTTATTCTACATACAGTATTACTCCAAAACACACAATACTCCGTTTTGTAAGAAGATGGTCAGCTTGCTCTTAATATTATGGCTGCTGATGATTAGGTACAACACGGGGAGAATGACAGAAAAATTATTACATCACTAAATAAAATCATTAAAAAATGTTGCATGTGGAGATTTGTTTTCAATGTTTTAGATTATTGCAAGTCAACGAAGTCCGCTCCATTATTTCCCAGGAATAAAGTTAATAGACTTTCTCTATAACATCAAGTCTATTGGTTCTCAGAAAAGAAAATGCACATTTATTTATATATATATTTGTTTATATTATATTGCGTAATACTTGTTTTTTTTCAGATTTGTTAAAAGTATGTAAAGCCATGCTTATACTTGGACTCCTTGCTATCTTAACATCGATATTTTGTGTTGCATTCAGTTTGTGTTTAAGATGTAAGCCCTATGAAAGAAGAATATTACGAATTTGTGGTATTATGACTACAATTTTTGCTGGTAAGTCTAATTTATGTTTTGAATGAATAATTCTCCGTTTCAGAATCCACAGGACTATGGATAATTTCATCGTTTATACCCCAAATTGATAAATAATATCACGTCATTAGTTTAATTTCAATTGTTAAGGATGATTTAACCAATCACAACGTGTTGGCGTACGCTTTTTTTTTTTTGAAAATATTACCCAGAATGCATTAGAATTTGAAACTACTAATTTTTCAACAACTTTAAAGAACATGAATTGCATCCCAGATCCTGTGAAAAAGGTTTACCCGCAAGTGCCAGACTTAAGATGACAAACTACCTACTCCCATAACATCAAAAGAAAACAAACATAATAAACAGTCAAAACGTTGAGGAACACATATTAGAACAGTTAAAGGGGCATTAGCTTCGAGATATGTAAAAAAAAAAAAAAAATCAATAGATTTTTTTTGGTTCAATCATTAATAAAAGTTAAATAATGAAATAATAATTCGAATTTAGCAGCCAGTTTGGTTCAATTTTGTCAAAATAAGGTAAGAAATATCGCTGATGAATTATTCACTTGCAAGTGAATAATTCGACCTCATTGAATCCGTATTCACGTGACCTTCAATTTAACCCCTTTGCTGTAGATGGGATACGCATGTATTCAGCTATTAAAAGGAAAGGAATGTAAACATTGAAAGTGAAACAAGGATGAATCATTTGTTTGACTGAGACCATGTAAAAGGTATTCATGTGAATTCAAAAATAAAATTGTGAAAAAAAAAACCTAATGAGTAAACTCAGGTCAATGTCAGATACAGATTTTATATTTTATTAGATTGCTTTTTATACAAAAGTTTTAAGCTGTGATTCATAAGTACTATTTATTGCTGTAAAATTAAATAATAAATTATTTATTTTATTATCAAGACTATAAGGACCCCATTGGAAATAAGCTTGTTTGCTTTCATGGGTCATCCTTGGGTTAAGGCATAAGAGGTACCTAAAGTCACACCCATTGCTATATTTGAAGTTGTATTTAGCTAAATTTCTAAAACTTATTATGTATTTGTATATATTGCCTTTACCTGAATAAATTTTAATTAATATTATTCGATCCACAAAAAATCATTTTATACATGTAAAAATGATGATAAAAATGTGTGTCTGGTGTTTGAGAGACGGCTTTCCTGGTATGGAACTTGTGATGATAAACATACTTTTTTAAACTAAAATATGAAATCAAACAGACCTATTTTTTTTATAGAAAATCGGTATCTATTTATATTTATATCTATGTTTATATCGGGTTATATGACCATCGGCTGTCTTCGGAGGTCATCTCGACGGTCAATTAGATGACGTCTAGACAAAAATACACACAAAATGCTGATACATAAAACCGAGTCCATGCATAATAAATTGTTCATTTTAGACTTTTTGTAATTTGGATATACGTTTTAAAATTGAGAATGGAAATGGGGAATGTGTCAAAGAGACAACAACCCGACCATAGAGCAGACAACAGCCGAAGGCCACCAATCGGTCTTCAATGCAGCGAGAAACTCCCGCACCCAGAGGCGTCCTTCAGCTGGCCCCTAAACAAATATGTATACTAGTTCAGTGATAATGAACGTCATATTAAACTCCAAATTATACACAAGAAACTAAAATTAAAAATGATACAAGACTAACAAAGGCCAGAGGCTCCTGACTTGGGACAGTCGCAAAAATGCGGCGGGGTTAAACATGTTTTTTGAGATCTCAATCCTTCCCCTATACCTCTAGCCAATGTAGAAAAAACAAACGCACAACAGTACGCACAGTAAAACTCAGTTAAAGAGAATATGTTATAAATCAAATATGAGAATTTGAGTCAAATCGGTGAGCATGAATTTGACAGCTAATGCCCCTTTAAAACTGTCTTCTACATGCATAGAAGCATTGGTACTGGGTTGATTGTATCCCCGAAAAACGACAGTTACCCAACAACAGAACCCACTTTGAGGTAGCAATGGAAAATTTGATCACGATATCAATGACACGATGGATATTTCTCGAATTATACTAATAGTCTAACCAGACACAATCTTCATCAATAGTTTGGGAACACAATTTGGTATTGTTTGGAGATCTTGACCAAAATAGCCGTTTACAATACTTCAAAATCGTCTAAATTCAATTTTGACCGAATGAGTTTCTGCGGTTTTATAATACACTTTTTATAGGTTAACAAGAACATGAGTCCATTTGGACATGTGTCTTACGCACGGTGTTCGGTTTTGCAATGATAAAGTTACGCGACCTCTTTCGTCAATTTCGATCGACTTCTGTATGAAATGTCAGAACTTTGCACTATCCACACCAATTTCATTCTGATTTTTAACTATTTATTTTAATAAAGACACTGTTAAAATGCCAGATTATTCATTTTTGACACATAAAACATATTTTCTTCATCTTGATTAGAACTTAATTAGTATATATGTTACACTCAGATATGTCAGATACTTGTCATGTCCAAGACTGTCAGTTATTGTAAGCTGTGTATCCTCTGACATGGTCAAGATTCCGTCATAAATATCGTGTGGAAACAGCTGGAACGAGCGATGTTTTGTGCTGTAAGAGTTTTTTAAACACGTCTTCAATACATGTTAATTTTCCAAAGAACGCTCTGTTCGCGATTAATTTCAAAGCGTTTAGGTGCATGGACACCATTTGTTATCCGATGCAGAAATAAACCTTAAATAATAAGTTTAAATATCTATTGAAATAGACTGTGAACTATGTAATTTTTGGAATGAAAATTTCAATTTGGAAATGTTCATGTTAAATTATTAAATGATTTACCGTGCTTAATATGCCATGAAGACTGCGTATTTCTTAACGTGCGTCTATATGTCGGATGCTTGCATGGAATTCGTGTATACGTGTTAAAATCACTCGAGTCGTTCTATCTGGTATAAGGTTCCGAAAACAAAAGCGCCGGTATTATAAAAGTATAAAGGGCATACCCGTGGTAAAGTTAGTATAAATTCAAGTCTATTGATTATTTCTATTCTAATAGGACAAATACGGTAATCCTGACCCTAACCCTAACCCTAACTTCTTTATTCTTTAGAGCTAGGCATGTCGATATTGTTCAATAAAATTGAGAATGGAAACGGGGAAGGTGTCAAAGAGACAACAACCCGACCAAAGAGCAGCCCAAGGCCATCAATGGGTCTTCAACACAGCGAGAAATCCCGAACCTGGAGGCGGGCTGTAGCTGGCCCCTAAACAAAAATGTGTACTAGTTCAGAGAAAACTAAACTCCGAAATATATAAATGAACCAAAATTTAAAAAAAAATCCATACAAGACTAACAAAGGCCAGAGGTTCCTGACTTTGGACAGGCGCAAAAATGCAGCGGGTTTAAACATGTTTTGTGAGATCTCAACCCTCCCCCTATACTTCTAGCCAACGTAGAATAAACAAACACACAGCAATACCACATGTTGACCTCTAGATGGTTTTTAATTGGTTTGATTGGTGGGCTACTGTTTCATTGACAGATCCTCAAAACTTCCTTTTATTCATATTGTGATCTTTTTAAAGAATTTCACATTTATTCATAAAATCAAATAATCATTCGGGTAAATGATTACAGTTGAAGAAAACTTTACAATGATTTTGAAATTTTTCATAATTTTTTATCCAGCAAAAATGATTGACCCTATATCTAAAAGAAGGGACATGTATCCTTTTATTTATCTCTCAAATTTCAAACATTTATCAAAATTATAGTTAAGGAAAGCCATTTCAAGCAATTATAATCTTATCAGTAAATTTTCGTACTTAATGTTGTAGAAACCCCAAAGTATAGAAAAAAGTAAAATAACAAAAATACCAAACTTCAAGGAAAATTCATAACGGAAAGTCCTTTGTCAAATGGCAAAATCAAAAGCTCAAACACTTAATGAATGGCTATTATTTATTTTGAATTTATTGAACCATAAAATTAATTTTTGACTCTTCACATTTTACATAATCCGCGAAAAATTGAAAATAAAGGTAAGACTTTTAACCAATTAGAAGACAGTAAATACACCAAATTTATTTATATCAAAAAACGAATGAAAAACAACTGTCATATTCTTGACTTGGTACAGGCATTTCCTTATATAGAAAATGGTGGATTAAACCTGGTTTTGTAGCTAGCTAAATCTCTCACTTGTTTGACAGTCGCATAGAATTTCATTATATTGACAACAAGGTGTGAGCAAAACAAACAGACATAATAGGTAAAAAATGTCAAAAATTGGGGTACAACAGTCAATATTGTGTTATAATCTTAATCACTATAAAAACAAATAACTATTTCAACAAAGAAAAAAACCAAAAATGGCATATAGACACTCTTTGAACAAAGCATATGAGCAAAAATGAAAGACAAGAATATAAAATGTATAAATACCGAGCCACGCCAAAAGTATATTACAAAAAATGAACTAACCAGTAAAGGTTTAAAATATACAAATACAAATAAAAAGAACACTAGAACACATTATTAAGATGATAAACAACGTCAGTACCTATAATATATACTTCAAGACCATCATGTATTATTTGTGAAGTTGATACGGAATATTTATCAACAAGGTCTTGGTATCTTCGATGAACATTTTTAGAAAAAGGACGAGACGTTCTATGACATAATCCTGGTTCGTCAACTTTCTGCTCAGACACTGGTGACGTTTTATTAAGTCTGAGTAGCAGCTGCAAGCCCTTGAATACCGGATGACTTGGGAAATGTATATCCCATATGCAGGTGAAGTTGGTATATTGGTATATAGCTTTGGTGATTTTTGTACAGATTTAAAGACCTTTTGAAAAAGGGCCTTCAGTGTGTAATAAATTTATGGAAAACTGACTCTACCTCTTTTGGTTTGGTACTTTTATATTGGCATTCTTTATGGTATTTCATGTTTTTCGGGGGTACAATTTCGGTTAAAATCGGAATACTCTGCTTATAGCGTAATTTTGATAGTAAATAACTATAGATATATATTTAATATAGAATAATACATGGCAAAATCCGTATCGCATGCTGTATCACCACGAGAAACCAATATCAGTCCCGAGGGCCGAAGGTCCCGAGGGCTGATATTGGTCGAGTGGTGATACAGCATGCGATACGGATTTTGTCATGTATTATGCTGTTTATCATACATTTAAATAGAATCAGATTAATGTGATATACGTTTTTTTTTTTAAATCGTCCGAAAAAATAACAAACAAAAGAACATAAGGATTTTCCTGTATTTTTCCAGCTGACTTTTTTTATAGACTTCCTTATTTGCTTAATATCCACATCGTAATGTCCCCTACAACCTTATTACATGCTCAATATAGAACTATGAATCTGGCAAAAAATATACTTTAAGACCATGTATTTAAAAGCATTCACTAACAATAGTGTCAACTGTTCCCTCCTGTAGAATACAACCCACCTTCCCAATATTTGTTGTTAATTTTAATCATTATACTACAATCTGAACTCATTTAAATACATAAATATGGACAACAATGTTACCAAGTATCATCTATTCAAAGATTATTAACAGACAAACAGGGGATTCCTATATACACAGTCATTGGACAAAAGTGAGTTCCCACTAAAAAACTTATTGTATCTATTTTATAAAAATCGCTTATAAAGTTACTGGGTAATATTTTTTTTGAAAAATATCGATTTTAGTTGAAATGATATGACATTTCTTGAGTGGGAACTCACTTTTTTCCTATGCCAGGAAATACAGCAACTGGACGTCATAGGTCAAACGTTGACGTCATTTGATTTATGACGTCACGCCAGGTATGCGATACGGATTTAGCTATGCGATACGGGGTATGCGATACGGGTTTAGCTTTGCGATACGGGGTATGCGATACAGGGTAGGTGATACAGACTGGAAAAAAGAACCTTTATTAGATATACAAAATTGCTGTATTTTGTACTAAATATATGATAAATAGTAATATCATCGTCCATAATGGTGGCATAAGATTATTACCGCGTCCCCTCATATTTGACATAAATAAATGGAAGAAAATGTTCGTTAGGAAATTAACTTCTTTTGAAGAGTTGATGTATATACAATAATTAAAATTGGATTTTTGCGCGTTCTGAACTTTCGATATGAGATTTTAAGGATCATTGACACAAATTGATTTTGACTTATTGTATGCTTGTAACAAAAATGTGATGTACAACAATTTTTTGTATGCTGTCAGAAATTCAGATTCAAATCAAATTTCGATCAAGAATGAATGATAATAAAAATGAGAATTGACATTCTTTGTGTTAACACCAAAGAGGCCAGAAAATTTGAGATAGCTCACTGTACGATATATCATTGATTTCATTGTTGAAGACCTCGCAATAGCTTCAAGATGAGAAACAACAGAAACAGTGTTATGTGTTTAATTTATGATTTCATTAGACTTTTGTCTCGTGTATATATACCCAAAATGTGAGAATAAAATGCACTAATCGAAGGGTCGTAGAAGTTGCGTGTGCGAGAAACATAAATCGCAGCATCGTCTTACACTTGGTTCCTGCTATGTATAAGTACCTTGCTCTATACATATATACATGTATATATATAAGAAAAAGAAAAAAAAAGAGAATCAATAAAAAAAATAACACAACACCGGTAAAGTTTTTGTTACGACACTAAAAATTTAATATGATCATTTTTTTTTCTTTCAGTGGTGTTTATTTTTGTAGGAATCGCTGTATATCCTGATATTGCACAAGACGTAGTTCCGGGAGATCTTGAAACATATTATGGTTCCTCATTTACATTATGCGTGATAGCAATGTGTCTCACTAGTTTAGCCGCCATCTTCCAGATAATGGACCTCATATATAGAGTGTTTGTGCTGGAAAGAAAGAAGAACCGTAAACCCCTGATTACTCCTAACTAATATTATTTGCTGGATCTTTTGTTTTGAATAAGTTGAATTATTCTGTTTGATCTAATTAAAGTGTCACCAATCATATGTCGGACAGCATAACAATGTATGAATAGGTTATGATTTTGCTTTGGGGTAAGAATTTTCCGCATTAATTCAATATACGAAAGGCATTTTAAAGCCCCAGTTGCACGTCCATATCAAAACTTGTATGTTCAGCCCCCATCCCACGAGTTATAAGATATAAATACTATGCAGAAAAAAGACTGGTTACACAAACATATATACAATTCATCCAGGAATAAAACTTAAGTATCACGTATTCACAAGAAGTGTTTACTCATTTAGAGAATAAGGAAGACATTCTAAACCTGCTAAGTTCAGAACTAAAGAAACTAGGCATTAACGATTTGGAATGTGTAAATTATACACTAAGACTTAATATGATGCATCAAAACACGTGCTTCCAAAATAATTCCTGTAATAAAATTAACGGTACTAATTTTTCTGCACGAAGTACGCATTTCGACAATTAATGTCTCTTCAGTAATGATCGAGGCCAAAATAATTTGAAAATCCAAAACTTAATAAAACCTAAGTACGTGCTTGAATTATTTAAGGCTACTTACGCATACATCATTATATATATATATCTAAATTGAAAACAACATATATATATATATAAACTAGTCTAAATTGATAACAAAGTTCAAACCTATGATTGCGTTGGATAAAACCGCAATTTTTATACGTGTGCATGCAAAACAAATTTCTTGTTAGAGGGTTTATACATGTATACAGCACAAACAACATTTTCCAAAAGACCAAAAAAGTGAAAAAGTATATTTTAACAAAACGCATTTGACTAACAGGTCGAACAACAAATGTTCTTAAATCCTGTTGACTGCCTTTGGCGATTGACAAATAAACGGATCACAAGGTGTAATAAATGGATCTTAACTATAAATTTAATACCAAACAGAAAACAATAAACTTTCGGCGAAGATGGTATACCGCAAACAAAGGTGCAAAGATTTTTTGTACACCATATCCGTGTTTCGACAATTAATGTCTCTTCAGTGATGTTAGGAATCGAAACGGTTATTGGAAGGCCACATAATTTACCTCAATTTAGGATAGACTCTTGAATTTTGAGGAGTCAAAATAGGATGAACGGATCATATAAACCCGAAGGCAAATATAATACAAGCCCCAACGCAAAAATATAAACAAGTCTAAATTGAAAACAACGTTCAACCTATGATTGCGTTGGATAAAAACCGCAATTTTCATACGTGTGCATGCAAAACAAATTTCTTGTTAGAGGGGTCTAAATACAGCACATACAACATTTTCCAAAAGACCAAAAAAAGTGAAAAAGTATATTTTAACAAAACGCATTTGACTAACAGGTCGAACAACAAATGTTCTTAAATCCTGCTGACTGCCATTGGCGATCGCCAAATAAACGGATCACAAGGTGTAATAAATGGATCTTAACTATAAATTTAATACCAAACAGAAAACAATAAACTTGCGGCGAAGATGGTATACCGCAAACAAAGGTGCAAAGGTTTTTTGTACACCATATCCGGATTTCGACAATTAATGTCTCTTCGGTGATGTGAGGAATCAAAACGGTTATTGGAAGGTGACATAATTTACCTCAATTTAAGATAGACTCTTGAATTTTGAGGAGTCAAAATTGGTTGAACGGATCATATAAACCCGAAGGCAAATATAATACAAGCCCAAACAAAAAAAATATAAACAAGTCAAAATTGAAAACAACGTTGAAACCTATGATTGCGTTGGATAAAAACCGCAATTTATATACGTGTGCATGCAAAACAAATTTATTGTTAGAGGGGTATATATATATATCATCACTGAAGAGACATTAATTGTCGAAACTCGGATATGGTGTACAAAAAATCTTTGCACCTTTGTTTGCGGTATACCATCTTCGCCGCAAGTTTATTGTTTTCTGTTTGGTATTAAATTTATAGTTAAGATCCATTTATTACACCTTGTGATCCGTTTATTTGGCAATCGCCAATGGCAGTCAGCAGGATTTAAGAACATTTGTTGTTCGACCTGTTAGTCAAATGCGTTTTGTTAAAATATACTTTTTCACTTTTTTGGTCTTTTGAAAAATGTTGTTTGTGCTGTATTTAGACCCCTCTAACAAGAAATTTGTTTGCATGCACACGTATAAAAATTGCGGTTTTTGTCCAACGCAATCATAGGTTTGAACGTTGTTTTCAATTTAGACTTGTTTATATTTTTTCGTTTTGGCTTGTATTATATTTGCCTTCGGGTTTATATGATCCGTTCATCCTATTTTGACTCCTCAAAATTCAAGAGTCTATCCTTAATTGAGGTAAATTTTGTGGCCTTCCAATAACCGTTTCGATTCCTAACATCACTGAATAGACATTAATTGTCGAAATCCGGATATGGTGTACAAAAAATCTTTGCACCTTTGTTTGCGGTATACCATCTTCGCCGCAAGTTTATTGTTTTCTGTTTGGTATTAAATTTATAGTTAAGATCCATTTATTACACCTTGTGATCCGTTTATTTGGCAATCGCCAATGGCAGTCAGCAGGATTTAAGAACATTTGTTGTTCGACCTGTTAGTCAAATGCGTTTTGTTAAAATATACTTTTTCACTTTTTTTGGTCTTTTGAAAAATGTTGTTTGTGCTGTATTTAGACCCCTCTAACAAGAAATTTGTTTGCATGCACACGTATAAAAATTGCGGTTTTTATCCAACGCAATCATAGGTTTGAACGTTGTTTTCAATTTAGACTTGTTTATATATATATATATATATATATATACATGTAATTACACTTGTGACTTCTAGTAAGCTATGTTGTTGGTCATTCTGTTTATATAGTACTTCATGTGTGTTAGTATTAGACAACTTTGACTCTCGAACGTTAAGGTTTGTCCGTTGCGGTTCCTTATGAGGTAAATTCTGAACGCTTCAGAAACACGAAATTAATTAAGTGTATATTTCCATTTACACTGAAGTTAAAGGAGCTAAAACTCTGCTTGTGAGTGTGTGTGTAATAAATTTATATCAAGTACGCTCTAAGCCTAAATATTTAAAAAAAATGTCCTTAAATGTTATGAGCATTAAAACAGAGTAGACAAGCATATGTTGATAGAACGTATATGTATATCGATAGAAAATGTGATGTCTGCGGCATGTGTTTAACTCGAGGAACTTAAAGGGCAGAAACAAAATTAAGGGTCCGAGATATTAGCCATTAAAAATAATGGGCGGGAAATGATTCCCTCTAGATTTTTCATACATTTAACATCGGCACCTTTTTTCTTTCAAACACTATGAAAAATAACAATGATTGTATACGATTTTGAAATATGACTTTTAAAACTACTAGAACGAACCCGCGAAATCGCGGGCATTTAGAGCGTGGTTGAAAGTATGTAAACTGTTGAAGGATAAATTTTTGTAAAGGATTTATGACTGGAGAATTTCAGGAAAGGTATCAAAAGTCATAGGTACTTGGAGAAGGACAATTTTTTTTAGCCCTCCCCCTTTTTTTTCAAAATCCGTTATTTTTTTGTTTTCAATTAATTTCAATTAATTTCGCGTTTTTCTATATACTATGAACATATATATACTATAATCTCTATATACTATATGACCGCTTTGATAGTGTCGTGAAAATAGCGCGAACTACGTTCCTATGTTAATGTACTTTTGTTTGTCTACGTCGGAACGTCAATGACGTCGGCGTGGGCAGAAGTCATTCTATATGTTATTAAATGGTAGATTTGAACGGCTGTATTTCTATACATCTCCAATCGCCACTACATTTTGGCGCCGTGACTGTCGGAAACAATGGAATCAAAATTAAAAGCAGTACGAAGAGGACACAAGGTGCAAGTTACAAAGTTATTAAAGAAATTTGATGAGATTGAAAATAATTCGGATTTAGACAAAGAAGATGTGAATCTTATATCGGATGCAATTGAACAGAAACAAAGGACTATAGTGGATTTGAATGAAAATATACTGGATTTGACGTCGGAGGAGGATGAAGCGGAGGAAATTCAAGAGTCTGATGAGTACAGATCTGTATATGTTTAATTTAGTGTCCAAGCTTCGGAAAATTAGAAAAAAATATCCCATTCTGATTCACTTTCTCAAAATGTCGCATCAACGTCTCTAGATCCAAATGCAAACAGTTTTAAGCCATATTACCCGACAAATTCATCGCTTACCAATGCCAATGTTATACACAGCAATGAAACTGAAATTAATGTACAGCCAACCTATTTTAATAATTTCCGCTCCATGCAAAATACCCATCGTGACTTGCAGTCTACTAATAATTTCTACAACCGAGTCTTTTCTTCGGTATCAAATAGCAGTCAAAACCACAGATTACCTAAACTAGATTTACCGCACTTTGATGGGGAAATTTTACAATGGCAAACCTTTTGGGATTCCTATGAATCAACTATCCGTTTTAACAGTAATTTGACCGAGAAACAGACATTTAGTTACTTGAAGGCCCAACTCCATGGTCATGCCGCCCAAACTATTGAAGGTTTCGCACTGACAAATGCCAATTATACCACTGCCGTTAATTTACTCAAAGAGCGTTTTGGATCGCCTCACAAGATAATTCATGCCTACATGAAAGCGTTAATGGAAATGCCGACTCCTAGCAACAGTTTACAAAGCCTGAGAAGTTATGGGACAAACTTGAAGCATATGTCCGGGGACTACAGTCATTAGGTCAGACGCAAGAGATGTACGGAGCCCTGTTAGTTCCGGTTGTACTTGGAAAACTTCTACCTGAAATTCGCAAAAATATCGCACGAGAACATGACAGCGACAATATTTCTTTGATTGAATTACGCAAATCGATTGTAAAAGAAATAAAAATTCTAAAAGTAGGCCAGTCTACAGATTACGGAGATAATCACATGTCCGCTACCTTTTTCACCGGTGCGAAGTCGAGACCACCACCTCATTATGACCATAAACAGACTAAAATGCCAAAAGGGACACACGCTTGTGTTTTTTTGTAACGGAACACATCATTCCAATGAATGTACAAAGGTAAAGGACCCACAGACAGAATTGCCGTACGGTAGTAAAAAGTAAGAAATTATGTTTTAATTGCCTTGGATTTCATCTCGCCAAAGAATGTAAATCACACAATAAATGCCGAAAATGCAACAAAAAGCACCATACAAGCCTATGTGGAGGTCGATTTGTAGCTGAACAGAAGTCACAGTCAGTA